GCACTGCACAATAAATCAGACCGCCCAAGTTCGATTCCTGGCCGCGGTAAACATCAGTGGTGATACTTGAACCGGTATCACCACTGATGTTGACCGCGGCCAGCACTGACCAGCGTGGTGAAGTATGGCCAAACGACCCCCAAGACCCAAGCCAGTGTAGCGAGGTCCTTCATCCAGCAGTGGATTGACTGTAAATGATAATTTAACTGACAAATAAAAACCCAATTCAAGAACCTTACGTCGCGAGTAAAAAGTCTCCAGACTCGGTGTTACCCAACACGAGGTAAGTTCAAAACGGGACACGTGGATTTCGTGGAATCTCAACGGCCGCGCAGGAAAAGAAAACAGCAGCGAGGCATCTCCCGAGGCTCGCGTAACGCACAAACAGCCGCGGTGGAGATCACAAATATTTGCGTGACAGCCAACTCGGGGCTTGTTGCTACGCACTCAGGGGCTGTGGAATGTCACACGAGGTCGCGTGAGCCCCTTGTGCCTTTTGTGTGGGGTCCTGCGAGGTGGGAGCGTGTGGTGGTGGTGGCTACGGCTGGTGATTGGGGTGGTTGCTGTATTAGTACAAGAGTGTTTGTTGACACGTGCGGGATCGTTCAAGGATACTGCGCTCCCATTGCAAGAGCGTCCTGCATCGTGACGATAGCGGTGGTAATGGCAGCTGTAGTTGGTAGTGGTAGTAGACTTGGTAGTTGTTGGTAGTTGTTGTTAGTGGTGGCCAAGGTGGTGTTGATCGTGCAGTCAGCCGTGAGCCCCCCGTCTCAGCCTTCATAAGTAAGAACTTTTGTGTTTGCGCGCTATTATGAGTCCCCCAGCAGCCTGGGGGGGGGGGTTCTTTGCGCGAGGTGGTAGTACTGTGGTAATCGAGGCTCCCATAGAACGCTTCACGAATTTGCGTGTCATCCCATATAAGAGCCCCCGTTGACGGAGCGCCTCCTCTACCCCTTCACGGCTGGGGTCTAATTTTAGGCTTTGTGGAGGTAAGGGGGACAGAGAGGGGGGAGAGAGAAAAGAGGGGCGGGAGAGTTAAAGAGTTTTCTGAGAATCGTACGCACTGCGCCAAACACGGTGGCCGCTCGGGGCCCGAGATAAACAGCGCGCCACCCCCACCCCGCCCCCACCCCGCCCGTCCCCGCACCCACCCAGGAACCCGCACGTCCACAGAAGAAGTAATAACAAACAACACCATGGAAAGTTTGCGATTGCGTTGTCAGTGGTGCAAAGACAAAGATGCCCCGTGTAGCCTGGAAGACTTTGCTGTTTTTTCCTGGATTTTTCTGTTGCACGTAGTCACTTTGAGATGTTTTCTTGTTCATGTTTTTGTTTGTTGCGGTTGCGTCCGATTCAAGAGGCGCGTGGCTCACAGGGCTGTACCTAGCAAATGAACTGAACGGACTGTAGGGGCAAGTGCTGTTAGCGAGCACCTATGAAGGCCGGCACGGCACACGAGGGGGTGGGTGGCCAACACCACACCCAGCCGCCTTTGTCTCCCTAGTGGCGATGTTTACACATCGCACCAGGTACTCATTTGAGCCTGAGTCGACCTAGGGGAGGCCCAGGATCGGTTCAAATAATCGTCACTGCTGTTGGCACACAGACGTCGAATCGTCGACATTCGCAATGCATCTCGTGAACGCCTTCAGTCTCGTCTGGGGCACCCCCAGCAGGAGCTGTCTCTGTGCGGCAGCAGGCGACTTGAGCACGCGGCTTGCAAATAAACTTTCAATTCGCACGTCATTGAGTTTGAAAGAACAACATTTGCACCGTGACGTCGGCATGGTGCAATTGTGAATCGGACCGGTTTATCGAAGCGCGCGATTTAACCAGGGCGGTTAGCCGGAGCCGAACCGTGAATATCCGCAGCAACACGGCGTTGGGGGGCCGCGGTCACAGCCTCCACCCACTGCTGGATGACGTCCCTCCACGCGCCGTCTTGGGGTTACTGAGCCATACTTCACCACGCCGGTTGGTGAAGGCGAGCGGGCTGGGGGGGGGACAACGGAGCGGTGTTTTTATTCGGGCGATACACAACCTCAGTCTCTCTCTCTCTCTCGAGGAAAAGGAGATTTTGCGCTCGGGAAAAAAAAGAGTTCGGAATGTTCGTCGAGAAATGCCAATCGCGGCGGCTCGCGAACAAAACAGAATGCGGTTTTAATTCAACATCGCCGCCAAAGCGGCTGCGTAAATTGTACACGCGAACGCGGGCAAACAAATTCAAACGTAAACAAAAGGGGCGGCCGCTTCACTCGTAACGGACGCGGAGGGATACGGCGCCCACGTGGCGCAAACGTTGACGCGGAAATTGAAAAGAAACCGCCCATCAAATAGAGCGTGAACCCTTTACAGGCCCCGATGGTGTCTTATTAATTAGTTCCCGCTGCTGCTGTTGCGTTGGAAGCTGCACACAATTCAGAAGGGTCATTGTCCGAAACGTCGCCCCATTCTACCCGGTGTTGTATCTCTTGCAGAAGGACTCCTCTGAGCTCCGCCCACAAAAGCGGGTGGAAACAAAACCACGCCCACTACCGGCACCGTCCAATCACACGCCAACACCGCTCTCAGGCCACACCCCCTTTCGCGTGACTTCACCAAACAAACCGCCCACCCTATCAACATAAACCACGCCCACTACCGGTACCGTCCAATCACAACCCAACACCGCTCTCAGGCCACACCCCTTTTCGCGTGACTTCACCAAACAAACCGCCCACCCTATCAACATAAACCACGCCCACTACCGGCACCGTCCAATCACACGCCAACACCGCTCTCAGGCCACACCCCTTTTCGCGTGACTTCACCAAACAAACCGCCCACCCTATCAACATAAACCACGCCCACTACCGGCACCGTCCAATCACACGCCAACAGCGCAATCAGGCCACACCCCTTCTCGCGTGACGTCACACGACGGACCGCCCACCACATCACCATAAACCACGCCCCTCTATTTACATGAACACCACGTTGCATGTCAATAACAATAGCGGCCTCGGTAAAAGAACACAAAAAACATTTACAAGAGGCGAGATGATAATAGCTTTTCCCCTTTTTTCTGCCAACAAAACAGCTGTGTTAAGATGTTAAGACACCAAACTGAAACCTTTTACAAGGAATCATGTTTGCATTAACCACAATACTTGTGGTCAGAATGCAAACAAAAACCATACTCTGACAGTATATGCATTGTCTTTGGTGTCCTCTGGTCTAGCACCGTTTGAGACGAGGACAATGCCCATATACTATCAGAGTTTGTTTGCATTCTGACCACAAGTATTGTGGTTAATGCAGACATGATTCCTTGTAAAATTTTCAGTTTTGTTGCCAGAAAAAAAATGGGAAAACCTCTTTTCATATTTTGGTACTGGCAAAGGAGGTCCCATGAAGAGGTGAGACGTTTCAAGCCATGGCCCTTCTTTAGCAGCTAAGCAGCGGGGGCCACCGTGAGATGGAGTGAATGATAAGAGCGGAAGACTGCCCTCTAACCCATGCGGCGCGAGAAGAGTATTCATTTAATCATTATTTTTTACTCTGTTTGTACATTTGAAAGTTGATGTTGACTGGACTGTACCGTTCAACCCGCCCAGATAAACCTTCGAGGCCACGTGCGTTTAGTTTAGTTTGATTATTTGGCTGCTATAAATGTCCACGTGATAAGCCACTTCGTTCAGCTATCATTTGTGTCCAGGTCGCGTCTAAAACAAGAAGCTAATAGCTCAGTGGACTTTACTTGCTAAAACAGTAAAAATAGTTTAGTTGCATTTGTAAATATTTTTTTTGGTGATTTGCTTACCTTTGCGATACGCACTGTCCTATCGTGTGTTTGTATCGTTTGTTGCTGTAACGTTTTGACCCCTCCCTACTGTTGTAGTACGGAGTTCGACTGATGGCCTTAATCTAAGTTGTCTTGTGGTTGTAGTTGTTGTTTGACTTGAATCCCACTGGGATTTTTGCACACAGCGTTGGTGTACGGTGCTTTTTGTGGAATATTTTGCTGTCTTTTCCTGGATTTTCTGTTTGCACATAGTCACATAGTCACTTTAAGATGTTTTCTTGTTCATGTTTTTGTTTCATGTTTTGTTTTTTTTGTTTGTTGCGGTTGCACCCGATTCAAGAGTCGAATGGCTCACAGGGCTATACCAAATAAATGAAACTGAAAACTACTGGACCATCTTACTGCGCCTCGCCCGTGTTATCCAACTTGTTTTTTGTCATGGATAACTCGACACTAAAGTCGCGTTCGTGTTGGGTCACCTTCACGACAGCGATCGCTCCCCCATCCATCTACAGCGGCGTGGACAGAGCCGACGGCGTGGACACCCTCAGCCTGAGCCCCACACGGAGGAGTGCACATCTCAGTGGGCTTCTCATCCGATGAAACGCAGACAATAATGCGCAACTCTTTTCACACGTCGATATATAATTTGTAGGCTTCACATCAAAGGAGCACGAGACGGGCACGATCTGACTGGAGTGTTTGGCGATAACGAACCGCGTAACGTACACTCGATTGCATCTCCGATTAGCACGGTTGGCTACGTACTGAGCGAAAGAAGTTCAACATATGTACATACATAATAAAGGTCGTCGTTCAACCCGTCACCACCCAACACAGACACTTTAAAAAAGAATTCAGATCAGAATCTTTATTTAGACTGCAAGGAGGAATCCGATGGGCTATAAAGCTGTTCTTCTTCACAGATGTCCAGGAGGGTCGGGTATGAACGTAACAGCAACAAACAGCGCAGACACACGAGAGCATTGCAAAGTACAGGTAAGGTAAATAAGACGTGGCCATTCGTTACCACTTGAGCACACGTTGGAGAGTAAGCCCACAACATTCACAATTCGATTGTTTACGTGTACGCCTCCAGTGACAAGCCCCGCCCCCGTGCGATTAACATAACAAGCCCCGCCTCCACGTGACGTCACCCCGCCTGCGGTATAAAAGGCGGCCTTGGGCGGAGCCGCTGTTCATTGAGCCGGCGACCCGCGCCGGCCACTCCCAGAGGAAGTATTCTCTCGCGCTCTCGCTCCCCCCATCACAACAACAACAACAACAGCAGCAGTCACCATGCCTTGCCGAGAGTCTTACGAGCCCTTCAAGGCGCCCGCGACGGGAGATCGCGCGCCATCGCAGGAGATGGACGAGCTGGTGCGTCGCCTCGGCGAGACACTGCGGCTCAAGGCGGTCCGGCCGGGCCGCAGGAGTCTCGGCCGCCGGTCATCCCCCTACTGCGTCCCGTCGAAGGCGGCCGCGGGGTCTGGGGCCGCCGGCGCGACCGGGCGCGGCGCTGCGAGAGGGGCGACCGGTGGCGCTGGCGCGAGGAGGCGAAAGGGTGGACGAGGCGGGGAGAACGGGGGCGGCGGTGAGGATGACGACGAGGAGGAGGAGGTGGTGCTGGATGACCCGCGGGAGATGCTGCGGGAGTTGCTGTTGAGCGGCAACCTCATCAAGGAGGCGGTGAGGCGGCTCCGCACGGCGCCCTGCTGCTGCCCCGACTCGTGATGTGCAGCGGCGACGATGGGGTGAGCATTGGGAGCGGGGGGGATGCGTGCCGGAGTCGGGGGTGGGATTGGGGCCGCGATGGGCCATTGGGGTTGTGTGTGGATTTCAACCTGGGACGGGATTGAATGAGGTGGGGGTTGGATCGGTGGTGGGATGTATTCCACACTCAGATCGAGCTGAGGTCGGGATCGAATTTGAATTTTGGAGATTGATTCTGGCATGGAATATGGCTGAGCTTGCAATTGGTTTGGACTTGGACTGGCGTTCAATTGAAAACTCTATATTTTTGAAATGAGATCTGGGATTGGATCATTGGTGGGACTAATAAAAGAGATGGTAGGTAATCGATGGTTGAGAATGTGGCAGATTGCGTGGAGGGTGAAACCTGAGGTTCGGTTGAGTCGATGGTTAAACAGCATAGTCACGGCTGGAATTGGGATAAACATGGAATGAGACGCAGTTCAATCGGGAATTGGATAGAACGGATGGGATTTAATTATTGCAGCATGCTCAAATATTGAGCTTGTTTTATTTAATATTCCCGGGAATTGCACCCACGCTTGATTCTTGTAGGAAATTTTAATGGCATCGAAACGGCGACTGGATTGAATCGCGGGCTGAGCAATGAATGAAATTGAGTCTGAGATCGTGAAATGGGATCTCAGTTTCACTCCGCCTTTACCCACCCGAACTTACCGGGAAGAGAGTGGCGGCTTGTGGATGCCTTCATCCAGCAGTGGAGAATGACCACGGCCGATGATGACGAGTCGTCACCCCACCACCTTCATAACATCCCAAAGTAGAGCGCAGGGGTGTCTTTGTTTCCCCTTTACACCCAGCGCTGTTCAGCAGCTGTACCATTGAATGTTAAATACTCAACAAAGCGATTTGTGATTACAATCCTGGAGGGGGGTGTGGGGGGGACGATGTCGTGTCGGTGGTGCGCTGTAGATGCCGTAACGCGTCTGTCTGTAATTAATTCGTGCAGCACAAGAGACGCAGCAGCAGCAACAACAACAACAACATGTTATTGTTGTTGAGGACATAGGGGCACGGTGGATGGCGCGCCAGCCCGGGGCGGGGCTGCGCAGCGACCTCTAGCGGACGTGGGCGGGGGGTGTGAGGCCGCGGGTCCCTGGCATGGCCTCTTTAAATGTTCACTTTTGTACAGAATTATTTTTTAACTACTCTTATTTTGGTCGCAGACCCCTTGTATAGAACGGCGTTGTTGTTGTGATGCTGCTGCTGCTGCGTTTGCAGTCGTTCCCAACGTTATAGAGGAGGATCAGTGCCCGAAACGTCGCCTATTTTTTTTAAATATATATACATTGTAATTTTAGGGCAGCGCTATGGACGGTAGGATGTGTTGGCCCGCGTCGTCAGAACGCAAGACCGCGACATGGAGACAGCTTTTGTGAGGCCGACATCAGACGTGGATTGATCATGATCGAGAACACGAGCCTCATGGCAGGCTGGTGTTACCGACTGGGTCTCCACTGGGGTTGTGGCGACATGGTTGGACGGCCTTGAGAGAAGGTGCGAGTCCATTCATTGTAGTTGGTGGCAGAATGGTTGTTAGTGCTCGCTAACAGCACTTGCCCAAACAGTCTGTTTTAATGCCTATACGGGGGATCTTTGTCTTTGTTGGTGCATTACGCTATGAACCCCACAAACCTGACGGGGGGGGGGGTCCATTCTCATCCACGGCTCACGTCAGTGGCGAGTAATATCTAAACTATTCCTTTGCCTCGCTTCTACTTCAACCCGTACTGACCGTCGTGGTGAAGTATGGTCAAAACAACCACCACTGCGCCCCTCTCCATGACCGCCACGGCGTGTGAAAGGCCTCCATCCAGCAGTGGATTGGCAGGGCTCCACGTGGTTATTATCGTACCGTGGTATATTTGTTTTGCCGGTATTTATCCACACGGCGTGGGCACGCGGTCGAAACTTTGCCGCGTTGTTCCAAACCTTTCCCCAAACATCAACAGTTCAACTGCGCACACCCGCCCACCCATTCATTCTCTCATTCCTTCCCAGAAACGCGTTGTTTGCCGATCGTGAAGCTGCGGTCTTGGGTTCGCTTCCTCAATTGTTGGCCCCAGCAGACATTATTTATCCATCAAGTCGGCGTCTTTTTGCCTTCCCAAAGCTATTTTTTGTTGAAACAAGGAAACGACCTCTGCCCACTGCGGACCGGTTTTTTGACACAGTCCGGGTTTCATCAGCGGAGCCTCGACTCGTTAAACTAGTGCTGTTGCATTGCACAATGTTAATGGAAAGGCGATTCCGCACGTAAATTATGGGACCCAAAGCAAAAAAACAAGTAGAAGTTACTTTTGTTGTGGAGGTCGCTCCTACTCCTTTGCTGTTCTCAGTGTCTGGAACTCTCCCCACCCCCCACAGCCGGGTCCGTGCTGTCTACTCCCTCGTCCCCTGTTCCAGCCAAGGCTGTGGACCGCCTCTGCAGACTCCCCCCCCCCCCCCCCTGGCTGTCCCCTCTCTCTTTCTCGGTGTAAGCGGCCCGGCGACAGAGCAGGGGGCCACTCACTATCCGACGGTTGAGAGTTCAAACCTTGGTTGTGGTGTGGGAGGGGGGGGGTCTATTCGGCTCATAATTCTTCCGGAAGTCAATAAAATGAGTACCAATTTGCGAGGAAATAAAACAGTGGTTGTCATAGTAATGTGGAATTTCCTGCCACTGGCCCAGGGCTTCAAATAAATATAGATGCGGTGTCGTTGGGTGACTTCTGTAGTCATCGCTGCTGCTGCTGTTGGTGATGTGGTGTTGAGAGCGAATCTTGACCTTGCCTTGATCCGGTTTCCTCGAGTGCAGTCCAGTGATCGGTGTGCATTGATGATTGGGGAGAGACTTGAGATATGCTGCATTCCTGAACATGCCGTGCCGGTACCCTGTGTTCCTTCCTGCTTATCACTCACCTGCGCTGGGCACAATGGACTCTCACCTGCATATAAACAACAACCTTGCTCGCTGGCCGATGGTGGCAGAACATTTTGTAAAGATATTTTATCGATACTGTGTGTTTGTATGTGTGCGTGTGTTCCGGCGATCCGAGTTCGATTCCCACTCACGGCCAGCACCCAGTGACGATTATCTGAACCGGTTCTGATCCACTTGGCCTTAAATGGGTTCCTCGTGCGATGTGTAGTAAACATCGCCACTAGGGAGACAAAGGCGGCCGGGCGTGGTGCTAGTCGCCCACCCCCTCGTGTGCCTTGCGGCCTTCATAGGTGCTACTCGTGAACAGAACTTGCCCCAACAGGTCTGTACGGATACACGGGGGATGTTGGTCTTTGTGTCTGCGTGTGTATCTCGTCGACTCTTCCCTGGTTTTTAAAGGTCATGTGCATCTGTGGTTAAAAACACAGCTGCACACGAGGATGGAAGCAGCCTAACCTGTGTACGGTCAAATAATAATTTGACCATACTTCACCACGCTGGTCAGTGCAGGTTGGCGACAGGGGGATAGGGGGGTGGCCCAGGACTGGTTCAGTTGTCACTCGCCACTGATAATGGCCGTGATCAGCAGTTGAACCTGCGTGGGGGTGGTTTGCTCACCGCGAAACATTATTCAAATGGACCTGTTAAGATGAACAAATGCACGAAAAAAAATCGTGTTTTTTTTTTAATTTGCATAACGGTTGAATCATTTCCCATGTTTACAAAATTGGATCAAAGGTCGTCGTCGTCATCATTGGCATTGCGGCCTGCAAATTAATTTACCGCTTCCCCATTGGAGCCGCATTTGGTTGAACGAAATTAGACATTAGTCGTTTTAGTTCCACTTGCTTGCAAAAACATGAAAAATATAGGATGCATGTGAATTGTGAAACAAACCTCCGTGGCTCCACCAGCATTATTTCGCACGCAGTTGGGTTGGATTCCCAGCCACGGCCGGCATCAGAAGCAACCGATACCGGAATTGGTTCAGGGGCCTATCCACCGTTCACCAAACCGCAGTGACCAGCGTGGTGAAGCCGGTGAACGTTTGTGGATGGCGTTGGTTGTGCTGGCTGGCCTACGTTGTTGCTGGATTTGAAGCGCATCGATGAGTCCGGTGTTCCTGTTGTTGTACAAACTGTTGCGTGTCCCGGGGCACAGTCATCGCCCGTTTCCCCTTTCGGTGAGTCGTGTCATCGTCGTGGCGGTTTCTAAAAATGACTCCCTCCTTTCACGAAAACAAGGCCGCGTTTCCTGGATGCCTCCCCGCCTTCAACCGCGAGAAATAAAAAAACCCAACGACGCAACAAAGCAACGGCATCCTACGCTCGCGTTCGCCCGCTCGGCCTCACTCTCACTCTCAAAGACAAAGATCCCTGAGGCTGTTGGCACAAGTCCTGTTAGTGAGTAGCATCTAATGAAGGCCGGCACGGTGCACAAGGGGGTGGTGGGTGGTCAGAACCACACCACACACACTCTAACGTGCACCGCACGCAAGCTCACTCTTGCGCACGGAATGCTGCAACCCTTCCCTCCCAACGGGGCTTCGTTTCAGCTGGGTCGCTCTGGTTCTGTGACCCGGACGCTATCTTTCCACCTGGCACACCACATCCAGTATACCCCTCGCGCTATGACCGTGTGGCCACTGCTAGTCGCGTGCAGCCTGCTCCAGTCGACCAGCAAGCTGGAAAGTGTTGAATGAGAAGTGAAGCTGTGCACGACGTTCGCCTGCACCCTCCCCATCGCTGTGGCTCGGTTCTGCTCCTTTCCGCGGCTGAGTTTCTTCTTTCCCACAGAAGCTGCTAAGCCTCTCTTTGTTACAACCTGCAGCTGTAAACATTGAGCCAGGCGTTTGTGGTCAGAGGTGATGACCCCGAAACCGGTCGTCCACCCAACAAAAGCAGCTGCTGGGCTTTAAGTCGAGATCGGCGATTAATTTGATCTGAGCACACCACATCCAACATACTCGTTCGCTACGTGACGATTTAACCCAGCGACTTTTGTAGTCGCGATGACGTATTTGTGTGCGAAGGCCACACTTGAGTCAGACTTGAGGGGGGGGATGCTGCTACCTCGGGATGTTTGGCCATCACCGATGACTTTGTGTGTTTTTGTAGCTCTGGGATTCGAGTCTCGAACGCATCCGTTGTGCCGCAGCGTTGCCCGTTCTGGATGCGGACTGGAGGTTTTTGTGGTGGGGGGGGGGGGGGGGCAGCGGAGGAAGTGTTGCTGTTGCGTCTCTGACGACGATCGCTCATCACGGGAAAGTTGCGGGGGCGCCGGCTGTTGTTGTTTTTTGCTGCCGGCGTTTGTTGGCGCGAGCGGAATGGGCGAGCCGTGACTCGCGCACGAGCGCGGGGATGGGGGGGATGGCGCGAGCAGGCAGCAGCGGCGTCTCGTCCATCGACGTGCTGGATCGCGCGTTGCGCAAGAGGCGCCGCGGTGGTGGTGGTTGTTGTTGATGATGATGAATGCGGCGAGTGGGTGATTGCAGGTCTGTGCGTGCGTGTGTTCTTAATTAAGCTCTTGTTATGTAACCGGTGACGTATCGATTTTTATATAAATGTTTTCAAATCTCTGTTTGTTCGTGCGATCTGTAGGAAGCGCGAGGGGAACTTGATGCGCAAGGCGAGAACCGCCTCGTCCCGCAAGTCGCCTGACCTTCGATCCTGCGGGAAGGGTGACCCCCCCCCCTTGACCTTGCTGGAACGGCGTGGCCCCTGACCTTGCGGACTGCGACTCCTGCTAAATCTGCAGTGAAGGCGAGGGGGCGGCGTGGTTGGTGGGGCAGGAGGCGAAGGGTGCACGCCTCACCACCAGGGAAGGCGGCGACAGTGCCCTGCGGTTCCGAACATTTCAACAATTATATGCGGAGACTTTTTTTTATTTTAAACCAGCGATTTGAAGAAGATGACGATGACAAAGGGGAAAAGCTCTCTCGTCGTGAACTCTGCTGTTCTGTCGGAGGGCGGCCGAGTGACCTTTCTGAGCGAGACTTGACCCCCCGACGGCGAAACGAAAGCGTGTTGCACGGCAGCCCGAGGCTCGCTCGACACCGTTGTCGCTTGCGTGTGGACACGGTTTGGATCCGCCCCTTTCCCGCTCCGCTACCGAGCCAGGGCTGTGCCGAGCCAGCCCGGCGTGGCTCGGGATCCGCCGGGTGGTTTTTCCACTGCAGAAGCCGAGCCGTGCCGATGATAACTCGAGTCGCGGGGTAGATGGCGGTGCTGCGTTCCACCCCGTACTGACGCACGTCTCACGCACATCTCACGCACGTCTCACGCACATCTCACGCACGCCGCAGCAAACATGCCATTATCCCCACCCCCCTGGCCCTGCTGGGCCCCGAGTGGGAAGCCTTGTGAGGAGGCAAGCCCGAGCATAGTCTGGCCATGACTGGGTTCTATATAACCAGCGGGGAGCAAAAACTACCCCACGCTGACGTGGCTCTGTGGCAGTGGACAAGGGGTCTGTTCAGCACGGCTGGTGAGGCTGGCAGCTTTAGAGCAGTGCACTGGTGCAGCTGTGGTGGGGGGAAGGGGCGGTCTGCTGGAGAGCGTCTTGAACCGTCTCGCTCTGTCGTGCCGATGGGACGGGACGGCAAGAACCCGAGGTTTGTGGTGATCTCGTGGTTAATTTTCAAAATTGGTTGACTTCACGACATCGATACTAGCTTTCTCCTCCCCCCCCCCCCCCCCATTGTGATCGCCACGACGATTAGGGGCGGCTCATGATTCAATGGAGATTTTTTTTTATGACATTGCGGTGTTATAGCGCCTGCAATGACGTGTACGAATCTAAAATAATGTAATGCAGATCCTCGCGCTCAACCATCAATTGTGATCGGAGAAATCCAAGTTCTCCCCAACGGTCGCCGAGTTCATTGCAATTAAATCGCGATGGAAGCCCCCCCCACCCCACGGGGGCTACGTGGTTGGTGGTGGCTGCTAAGGCATTGGCATGAGGGAGCCGTGAGCCCGGCACTCCGCTCCCACGTGCAGTTTTCAAAGGCATTCTCTTTGTGTGTGTGTGTGTGTGTGCGCGTGTGACTGAGAACAAAAGTTGCACAGTCTAAAGGCATTGTTGTGTGTGTCGCTGTACAAGTACAATTCTTAATGTGTGTGTGAAGCTGGGTGTGACACTTTGTGCGGCTGTGTGTGTGATACGCTCACAAACACACGACGGTTCGAGCGGTGTGACCCGATCTCGATTCCTGGCGGCAGCGCATCGGTGGACACCCTCGCCTTGAACCGTGTCGAGCCTTCCGGAGGCGCAACGGAACTTTCTGTCCTCCAATAGGTGCTCGCCAACATCACTAGCACCAGCAGCTTGACTTGGGGTCGTTGGGGATGTGCGTGTGCGCGCAATAGATTTACGAATTACGATTATTTCCTTCAGCGTATTGATTGCTATTGCAGTCGCTTTAGAGATTATTTAAATGACCTGTACATTTTAATATTTTTTGTCCGTGCAGGTTTTAGCAAGGGGGAGGCTATGCAGCTTTTGTTGCACACACAGGCTTGGGGCAGGGGTGGGAGGGGTGGTGGGATATTGTGGGCCTGTGAATTGTCTTTAGTAAAAAAATTAAGTTAAAAAAAATCGAGCGCAAAACTGGGAGTAAGAATAGAACCACTCGGGTCTTGTTTACATTGAGTCGCTGGGTGCCGTGCTCTTCCAAGGTCACTCGCACACAGGTGTCTGTAGGCCGGTGTGCTGCCTACGACCTGCACGCGTATGGTCCTGTAAGGGTGCCCCACCTACACGTTTCTCGCCTGTACAGGTGTGTGCGCGCGCCTGTACGGTTTGTGCTACCTGTAATGGATGTGTTCCTGTGAGTTGTGTGTGTTCCTCTCGTGTATGTTGCCTGATAGGGGTGTGCGCGCACTGCCTGTAGTGGTGGTGTGTGTGCCTGCCTGTAGGCGTGTTTGTGTGTTTTTTTCCTGATGTTCAGGGCTCGTTAATGGGTGTGTTGGCGTGCTGTTGTAAGCCGTCCGTCTGTGCATCTTGTAAATTTTCTCAGGAAAATAAAACTGTTTCATGTTGAGCTGCCGCCTCGGTGTCATCATTATTGCTGCTGCTGCTTCGGTCAGCGATGATGGTGTGGGGGATTCTTCCCTCGTGGTTTTCTTCTCCACGTGGACGGGAGACTGGAGTATCGTGGCACGGGGAGCGGTGAATTGAATCAACCACCACCGTGGCTAGATGCCAACTACCTCGCCTGGTGTACAAGGAGGTTGTGGACGATCCCGACCCTGACGCCGAGCTCGACCCTGACGCCTGCTGTTCTCCCCGTGGTCGCGTGGATCTTTCTCCGGGCCCTCCGGGTTTCCCCTCCATTTAGAAACACGCGTTTAGAGCAATTGGCTGCTATAAATGTCCACATTATAAGCCACTTCGTCGGGCTATCATTTGTGGCCAGGTCGCTTCTGAAAAAGTTATTCAGCTCGGTGGGCTTTACCTAGTAAACTAAACTTTGTTTTATGTTATCATCCATCAGTTTCGCAGATGGAGAGTATATGAGTGCGAAATAATGTATTTGTGCGTGTAATGGTTATCACACTGCCCTATGAAGCCAACTACCCGAGTTTGATTCCCACCCGTGAAACGGTCCTGGGCCTCCCCTAGGTTGACTCGGCCTTCAACAACTACCGAGTGCAGTGTGTCCACGTGATCACTGGGGAAACGAAGGCGGCCGGGCATGTTACTGGTCACACCACCCCCTCGTGTGCTGCGTTGACCTTCAATAGGAACGGCGCTTGCCCCAACAGTTTCTTAAAGGCCACGTGGGGCGGGCAGGTGGGGGGGGGTCTGAACGTCGTTTCTGGGACGTGGGTAGGAGGAGCGTTTCTGTTTTGTTGGGATTTTTTTCTTGGTCTCTCGCGGTGGAATGCAGAGAAGCGTCCAGGAAACGCAGGGCCGTGTTTTCCGTGAAATCGAGTCTTTTTTTAGAAACCACCACAACACGACCAAAAGAGGACGTGGAGAAAGCGGGGTGTGGGTGACGAGCGTTCGACAATGCGAGCACAAAACCCAGTGAACGTAAAACGCGGGGACAGCCCTGGACATCTGACGTACGTCTTGATTGTACCCAGTTTTTATTAATAGGCAAACTGAGCAATCATTGGAAGGACGTTATTGACTAGTTTAGGTCATAACTGGCTGTGATGTTCCCTCCCTACCTATGTGAGCAGTCATTTTCAACTCTGAGTTACATTCACCAACACGGCCACCGTTAGCTGTGTTAGTAAATAGTGGCCTGCCATCCTTGTCCACCTCCACGTGGCGATGCTCTTGCCGAGCTCTCTCCGTGCTTACATTTACAAGCAAATCTCTTACATTGACATGCGAATCTCTCACAATAAAATGGCCACCCCCACAGCTTCGTTTGTCAAGATTTACCCGATCTTATTTTGCAAATTTCATCTCTAGCCCCTCCCACTGACCCTTGGGCTGCACACATCCCAAACCTTTATAACTCCCTGCCTTGGCAGCGCTCCCACCAAATATTCTCAGCAGCGCCCCCGCGATATTTCTCGCCTGATGACGATTGCTTGTGTTGCGATCGAAACGTCGTGATATTGTTATTTTCTTGCATATTTTTTTATTATTATTTGATCTATCTACGTGGCTTTACCGAAAGACCCAAGAATATGCCGATTCATAGTTCCCAGATTTCGCACACAATTTGGATCGAACGCATTTCATGTAGCAGCTGCCCCGGAGTGCCTAACCGCCCCAGTTTCGTCTCTCGGCATCTCCATTCTGCCATCTTTGTCCTCGTTTAAACCACAAGTGTAAATGTAAATTTACAACACAATTGCTATTATTACATTTTTTAAATCCGTAATTGTGGAATGCTTTGATGTAGTCTCCTGGCCGAGTCGCCCTTGAAGAAGAGCTTATTAGCTCACCGGGTTTCACTCGGTGGGAAATAAACTTCTGAATCTGGCCAACGTTGTCTCAACGTTGCACGTTGACTGGGAAGTCACCACGAGCTGCAGAGCTCGTGGGTGAAGTGACACGTTCAAGGTCGCGGATGCCCCAATATTGATTGCAACCTGGCACGCGGCCTGCCGGCGGTGACCTTGCGTTGTTGGGACATTAATTTCTTAAGAAGTTGAATTGCACCGATTGCGTTGGTCTACCATCTACCACTTTCATCGGCGTTACTCCACAACATGCCCAGCAAGCAAGACCTGCCGACTCGAGTCCCGATCCCCCCTCTGGGATGGTCCTCACGCCATCCTAGAATCTCACCCAGATGTGGAGAAACGCTGTGGGCGAGCGGTGGAACAACGGCGGACGTCCAAAATGAACGCTTCATTCGAGACGCAAACAATCGCACGCCACCCGGTTTTGACATTCCTCCTTGCTCCTCGAAGACTGGGGTGGAACCATCGATCGCAGCAGATCATCAACAGGCTGATGTGCACACATCTTCAAAGGCGGGGAATTAAAGGCAAGTCACACGAGTGCGATGTGATTGCGCAAACAAAACTACGGATCATATAAACAAAAAACTATTCAAAGCTTTTTTTATACCAGGTAAGGCCAAATTGAGCTATATAGTTCATTTTCAGAAGTGACCTGGTCACAAATGAAAGCTCAATGAAGTGGCTTATAATGTGGACATGTATAGCACTTCAAAGGCATGTTTCTAAATGTGGAGGGAAAACCAGAGGACCCAGAGAAAAGTCCACACAACCACGAAAACAAGCAAACTCCCAAATACAGAGGCGTCAGGGTTGGGATTGATCCCACGACCTCCTATATACCAGTTAACATCTCGCCACCGTAGCTACTATGGTAAACCCATAGAGACACATACAGTAAAGACAATCCACAGCAGTGCTTATTGTGTCCATGCAACTCAAACTATGGAACTCGAGGCCTATTTGTCCTGGCATACGCTGGAAAATAAGCATTGATATTATTTTTTAATTTAAAGCTTTCGTGACTGCAGGGACTCATATTCTTGGTTCTTTCGGTGAAGTCACGTAGAAGGGAAATAATAAAATAATAAAAATATTAAACAATACAATTTTCACGACTTTTCGACTGCAACACAAGCAATCATCATGGGGTGTGAAATCCACACCAAGAAAATTGTATTGTTTTATATTTTTATTGTTTTATTATTTTCCTTCTACGTGACTCTACCAAAAGAACCAAGCATATTTACATTATTGTCCAACTGACGTATAGCGTTGTGGCGACTTCCACCACCGCTCCTATGAAGGTTCTCCAAAATCTGAAGAGATGTTGAGATTGTGGTCTGGGGTATGAAGACCAAACTGATTTTTTAAAATTGTAATTTATTTTCTGTGATTATTTTTTTCCTGTTATGTGAAAAAAATGATCGTTATTTACGTATAAATTGTTTTTTTATATTTTCTAAGTAGTGGGGTTTTTGTATTCCCTGTGTACGGAACTGGATAATTGATGTGTAGCGTTGTGGGATGCAATTGCATGAATGACGCTCTAGAAAATGAAATTATTTTTTCTAGTAATCCACTGCAGGCTCTGCTCTTTCAACGGATGAGCATCAAAACTACACAGACTCTCTCCTGGAGCGTCCTTGTGGCTGTCAGACCTCGACATTGGCATTCAGCTCGATCTGGCGAATTGGGAAGCATTCCGGCTGGTTTGGCCATAGATTCACATTTATGAAAATCTGGAGAAGTTTCTTGGCTAAAACGTTAAACCGTCACGGTAACATATCGTTGCATGTTAAAAGGGGAGACATTTTTACAATCATGTCAACTGGACATCTGTAAAAACATCTTAATAGATCATCGGATTCCTCCAGTCTCAAGATTTATGATTCTGAGATGTCTAATAGCAATGCACGCAGGGCCACGATACGCAGCTAACGTGGGCTACCAGCAGGTGGCGCTCGTGACGCGCCGTAGCGCTCAACATCTGCCCACCTCATTCCTCACCCGTCCAGTCACCCACCCCTCCGACAAGTCACCCACGCATTCATCCATCTTGCCAACCATCTATTTCCTAAAATCACCCACAAATGTATCCATCCTTTTACCCACCCATCTATCCATATAATCACCCACACATTCATCCATCCAGTCACCCACCCATCTCGTCACCCATCTATCAATCTAATCACCCACACATTCATCCATCGAATTAAGTCACCGACTCATCCATCCGTTTAGCCATCAAATTACCCGCCAATCCATTGCCAAATAACCACATGGACCCTCAGTGGACTGGCAAAAAAGCGATGTCATGTACACAACCGTTTCATTGCTCGCCCCAACAAGAGTGCATCGGAGAGCTGCAGCCCCGATACCCGCTGCCACGGTCTGGCGACAAAGGAGACATTGGGACTTCCGCTGCATGCGTCTATTGTAGCATTACCATCGCCCGCAAAGCAACGTGGGCGCATTTCGTAATTACAGCGAAATTGGCACCGCGCGCGACCCGTAGCGCCCCCCCCACCTCCTCCCGTACCCCCTCCCTTCACCTACTTCCACCAACGCGTCACCCACCCTACCCCCACCCTCCCCAATAAGCCCCGCCCCTCTCTAGTCGCGCGCGTGCGCAATGAGTCTTGAGGGGAGGGGGAGGGGAGATCGCGAGGGTTATGTGAGGGTTGGGACGGGGAGAGAGTGAGGGAGAGGGGGAGGAGCTGGAGGGGAGAGTGAGGGAGAGGGGGTGGAGCTGGAGGGGAGAGTGAGGGAGAGGGGGAGGAGCTGGAGGGAGAGGGGGAGGGAGAGGGTGAGGAGCTGGAGGGGAGAGTGAGGGAGAGGGGGAGGAGCTGGAGGGAGAGTGAGGGAGAGTGGGAGGAGCTGGAGGGGAGAGTGAGGGAGAGGGGGAGGAGCTGGAGGGGAGAGTGAGGGAGAGGGGGAGGAGCTGGAAAACGAATGTACGCCGAATACTGTGCTATTTTGAAAAGCTGACTGCTCTACCATTACTGTAATAATATCAGTTTATAGATTTCGAAAGTCTTACGTTGATGGTTAGCAATTCCCTGTGTGACTGATCATTATGAGTACGCATTAACACTGGACTCTGGCGTGT